AGTTTCTATAGATGAAAATATAGCTATTTCAGGGAGCTGGTCCCGAGTGGTGACAGATATAGGATGAGAAAAACAAACTATCAGTTACTTTTTCAGTGAGGTCACAAAAGGGAGAGTTAAAGTGGAGAAAGGCTTCCAGTGTATACAAATGCTTACATGTATTTAAGCAGGCTAAAACCATACAATCATAATCATAGAATGTTTACAATGTAGCCTTTTCAGAACAGGTTACAAAAATGCCTATGGTTGATGTAAAACAATCCTTGAAGAACTCCTAACAATAATCAGTCTTGTTTTTAACTTTTTATTGTGAATGTTTACAGGGCAGAGCCCACACTTCATGTCAATGAATGCATTACAATTCCCTTAGCCCAGTTAGTCCTTGAGTCTTTTCCTAAGGCTCTTTAGAAACTGCTGGCTCCAGTGAAGACTTCTTGGTCTCTGGGGAAACTTGGTTAACAGTTGGTCCTAAGTTTCCTCATGAAACCTTATTATCAAAGAAATGTTAAGACCATTTTACACCAATGTGTTGTTAAGTGACATCAAGTTACTTCGGGATTGATAGCAACCCTGTATAGGGTTTCCAAGGAGCAGCTGGTGGGTTTGAACCACCCACCTTGCGGCTCACAGTTCAGTGCTGATCCTACAGCGCCACCCCAACATACGCATGTTAAAATCACCCTTCCTTGGGATGTAGTCCTTCCATATCCTGGTTTGGTTACAGAGAAAGCCTATCCTCAGTGATTTATGTTGTTAAGTGCCATGAGTCAGTTCTGATTCATAGCGACCCCTTGTGGACCAGTGCTTTCTTCCACAGCATCACACCAGGACTTGTGATTTATGGCTTCTAGCAATTAACATAGACAGTTAACAGAAGTTTACACTTAGTTGAGCAAACTTTTAGTCCTAGGCAGTGTGTAAGGGAGCAGTTTAATTTAGCAAGTTGTTATGAGACGCCATCGAGTAGGTCCCCACTCATGGGAGTCCTGGTGTGGCGCCATGTGCGCATGCGCCAGGCTGCAACGACGTTTTTGAACTACAAGGTCTGCGGTTCAAGTTCACCAGCTGCTCATTAGAAACCCTATACAGGGTCACTACGGGTCGGAATCAACTAGACGGCACTTAACAACAACAAGGTTCCAACTCATAGCAACCTTGTATAGGGTTTGTGGGAGTCCTGGTGTAGCGCTGTAGGATGCACTAGACTGCAAAATCGGTTTGAATTGCAAGATCGGTAGTTCCCAACTTACCAGCCGCTTCTGGAAACCATATACAGGGTCGCTATGTGTCGGAGTCGGCACTTAACAATATGGGGTTTGAGAGGAGCAGCTGGTGGGTTTGAACCGCCGACCTTGTGGTTGGCAGTCCAGTGCTGATTCAATGCACCACACCAGGAGTCCTAATTTAGCAAGTTGTTGTTAAGTACCGTGGAATCGGTTCCGAGTCACAGCGACCGTGCACAGGGTTTCCAAGGCTGTAAATCTTTGTTGTTGTTGTTAAGTGCCATCAACTCATAGCGACCTTATGCACAGCAGAACGAAACACTGCCGGATCCTGGGCCAACCTCACAATTGTTGCCACGCTTGAGCCCACTGATGCTGCCACTTTGCCAATCCATCTCGTTGGGGGATCACCCTCTTTTTCTCAGACCCTCCACCTTACGAAACATGATATCCTTCTCCAGTGACTGGTCCTTCCTAACAATATGTCCGAAGTATGAGAAACGAAATTTGGCCATCTTGGCCTCCAAGGAGCACTCTAGCTGCATTTCTTCCAACACAGATCTGTTAGTTCTATGGCAACCCATGGCACTTTCAATATTCTCCTCCAACACCATAACTCCTACGGGAGCAGAAAGACTCATCTGTCTCCCGTGAAACGGCTGGTAGTTTAGAACTGCTGACCTTGAGGTTAGCAGCCCGATTCGTAGCATTTAGTCTTGGTTAAAAAGGCTTTATAAATTTTTCATTTACAATCTAGTTTGGAGATGGCGTAGCATAGAGATTATTCTTTAAGAAAACCTTATCCGTACACATAGTATTTCCCCAACCCCCTTCTCAACTCTAAAGAGGAGTCTTTGGATATGCAAAAGTACCTCTGTGGGTATAAAGTGGAGGGCTCTCGCAGGTAGTAAATGACATAGTAGCAGCAATGGCGGGCATGGGGGCGCGCCAGGCCCTGAGGCCCTGGAAGCTGAGCAACATCAGAGTGGCCTGACAGCTTCTGCTCAGGGCGCCCCCATAGAAGGGGACAGACAGGAAGCGTTATTTCAGCCGAACAGCCCACCCAGCGGCTCCGACCTGAGGTTACCCTTTCACCGGAGCAATCGGGCCTCAACTCCCATGCGACCCATCTCTCGCTCTGGCCTGGTGATGACCGGCGTCTGCGGGACCCAAGAAGACCTCCGAGTCTCGGGGACTGCGGAAGGAGTCCGGGTACGCTGGTCTGGGTACCCGAGAGACCAAGACAGCGGGAGGAACCAGACAGGCTCCTAAGAGCGGAAGTGCACCGCTTCCTTCCGGCCGGCGCCGCACGAGACGGGGAGGGGCGCGCCGATATTGGGCGGGGACTTGCGTTGACGGACGGTCGCCGGGACCAATGGACACAGCCACAGCTGCCCTACCTCTCTGGCGCGCCCCTTCCCGGGGGCTGCTGACGGCCCCCAGCTCCCCATTTTCTCGGTGGTGCACTGACCTCCTCCGGGACCGCGTCTTTCCATTTTCACAGGCTGCTACGGACTGCTGTGCGGCGCGGGAACGGAGGTGAGTACGCTGTTCTCCGCCTCCTCGCCCGGCCGGCCTCCTTCTCCGCTAGGAGCCGCCGAGAGGACGGCTGAGCAGCCGCAGGTTGGTGGCGGCGCGGCGGGCCGCGAGTGGCGGGAGCGAACGCTTGGGCGCCAGGGTTCCGCGGTCGGCCGGGCCCCTTCCGCGTCCTGCTGGGTGGCGTTTCGCGGAATCCGAGTAGACGACCGAAAGTCCCGCCCGCCGTGCGCGGGCCCCGGAACTCGGGACGAAACACGGGGTCGGGGGCTCGAACTCGCGAGTGAGGAAGTTTGCAGAATTGCCTTCTCGGGAGACTTCTCGATAGTTGGCCGCACGGCAGAGCGGGAGGCGGGGGCTGGGCTCGGACCTGGACAGAGCTGCTGGGAGCTGGGTGAGTGAGCTTGTTAGGTGCCTGGCAGCCCCGGGGCACTGATGTGAGGCTGCTGGGTGGGTGCGAGGAGGGACGCGCAGGTACCCTGCGGCACCCACGAGATGCTCGGTGCGTAGCAGTCATTCTTGGTAACGGAAGGGTTTGCTTTTGCTCGTTTCAAACGTTTAAACTGGCATCCCTTTTCATTTGAAAGAGGAACTTTTGTTCCATACTTTATGGGATTATTACTGCGTGACACCTAATTGGCGCTTACATACAATAAGCTTGTGTGAAATGTGGGTTTTAAAAACTCCTCTCTCCCTTTTAGAAAGGGCATGCCTATCTCTAGAAATAGATCATTTGGGGAGTAAATCCACTTCTGACAGTACCTCGTTCCCAGCACTCCTTTTTCCATCTTTGCCCGGGATTCTCCATTTTCAGTGCCTGGAAGCACCTAAGTCAGTTTTATTGTTTTTTTTGGTATGAAAGAACAAACGGTTTAATGTTGGTTCCTCTTTTCGATAGAGCAAAAGTGTTTTCCTTTCGTAATTAGTAAACTGTCCAAACAATCATATTAGGTTACTACTCTGTATTTAATAAATAATCGGTAAAGTGCGGTTCATTATTCAGTAGAGTGAAGCAAAATGTTCCAGGGGCCTAACTCATCATTGCTGCCACCTCCCCGCTACCACTCACCGGCCTCCCACTTGCTACTTCCAAACGCAGCTCCTGCTCCCTGCAGTTACTCCCACTGTGGCTCCCTGAGATCTGAAGGGATCTCAGCTGCCTGATTGGCACCCCCACTTCCCTCCCCCCTGTCATCACCACTGAGGCATAATCCTCAGGCTTTCAGGGTAAATTGTTTTCAGGAACATCATTTTTTACCTGAGATACACCAACACACACACACACACACACACACACACACAAACCCGTGGAGTTAAGAGTCAGTTTTGACTCACAGTGATGTTTCCAAGAATGTGAATCCTGGTGTGGTGCTGTAGGATAAGCACTCGTCTGCAAGTTCGGTGGTTCAATTCCACCAGGCACACCTCGGAAACCCTATACAGAGTTGCTGTGAGCCAGAACTGACTTGATGGGACTTAACAACAAACAACAAAATCTTTATGGGAGCAGCTGAGGTGCTGGTAGGTTTGAACTGCTGACCTTGTGATTAATAACCCAGTTCAGAACTCAGAGGGCCACCAGGATTAGTTCTTTAAAGTCAGACTAGAAACACATTTGCTCCTACGTGTTCAACTCTATGAGAGAGACAGAAAGCCTACTGTTACCTATAGAACTGTGGCAGTTCCATGAAACCATATGAATTTTGTGACAGGTTGCATCAAGACTGCTGTGGTTCATAGAGGAATATCAACAGGAAGTAAGCCAACAGGAAAGAAGGCTTACTAGAAGAAGCGGGGGGTGGGGGGTTATCCCTGTCGCTACTGGGATTCTTAACCCTACACTAGTTATGGTGTGTTGCTGTAGGATAAGCACTGGATCACAAGGTCTATTTGAATTGCAAGGTCAGTGGTTCAAACTCACCAGTTGCTCCCTGGAAACCCTATATAGTTGAAACCGACTCAACAGCACTTAACAACAACAACGCTTATAAGTATGTGTTATTGCATGACACTTAATTGGCACTTATGTACAAAATAAGCTTAGTTTTAAAGGCTGGTTAAGATTTAGATGGGGAAATGGGGGTGGGCATGCTAAGCAAAGGAAAATAGCACAAAATTAAGTCCAGCACAGATGAGTGCGGAGGTGTACTGGGGAGGGAGGGTACTGACATATGGGCAGATCAGTTATTTCTATGTTGCTTGTAGGAGTGTTTGGAAGAACAATGCATGTAAGTCTTTGACATGATGTCCATCCGACAAAGAAAAGGAATAAAAGCCACAGAAATTTCTGAGGATTATCCAGCACCAGAAGAAAATGTGAAGTTGGAAAATAAATTGCCATCTGGTACGTGATTTAAAGTAAAGCAGGCATGTGGGATTACTTTGATTTCTGCGCATTAAAAATGTCACCAATAAGACAAAAATTCGGGGAAACTGTTCTAGTACCCTACTGTTTTGATTTTGCAATTGATTTGATTTTAATTGGCTTATTTAGGTTTTACAGTTAGGATTAAATTAAAGATGAAAGAGCTTTGATTAGAACCTCTGATTCTCAGTTATCTGATCATGATGCTCTAGATTAATGCTTTTCCCCACTATTCAGGTTCCAGTCTTGTTCTCATTTTTCTGGCATATGTATAGATATGTATATATACATACACACACACACATGCACACACATACACACACATACACACACACACACACACACACACTGCATATTAGGCAGCCTGCGCTTGGGTGAGTTTTCCATTTCGTTTAAGTATTCAAACAGTCAAAAGTCTTACATTATTTTCAGTCAGATTCCTGAAGTTTTCTCCTTTGCTTTGTTTTGGTGGGAAAGTAGTCAGAATTTGATAAATTATTTATTTAACACTAAAAACTGTTATTAAACTGTACACCACCAAATGCCATTAATTACCAACTTATGCCTCCTGCGTTGCTTTCTTAAGTAAGCCGCGTTGGGATTTTAAAAGGAAACCTGAAAATTGCTATCCATTAGCCATTGTAGATACCTCAGAGAGTTTACATCCATTGTAGCTGTGTTCACTCCTGTCTGCCTGGGTTGGTAATTTGTGACGTTATCTGTATCGGAGAGGGGAGGCAGTGCCGTCCAGTTTAGCTATTAGCAGTGATGTGTTTTATGTGATATAGACAATGCAAATTCAAGTTGATATTCTTCCTGAGGGAGATATATATACCTTTGGAGTTTAAAATCAAAGCATTGCTTATTCATATCAGGAAAACTGAGGAAAAGCAAAGAGGAAAGGAAAACCACCCTTGCCATCCACTCATAATGAGGCAGCTGCCAATGGCACGGGGGTGATGTTTCCATCTAAATGCTGCTTGTTCTCTGCATGTGTGTACTCACAAGCATTCAGATGTCACTGCTTTCCTTCTTTTAAGACGAATATGTCATAAGTCAGTAAATAAGAAAAAATTATTGTGGAACAAACACTATATGCCACATTTTTTTCAACATTTTTTTGCCTGTACAATTCAATGGCATTAATTACCTTTATCATATTGTGCAACCATCACCACTATTGTTTTCTACATTTTTCTATTGTCTTTAACAAAAACTTAGTCCCTCCCCTGCACTAACTCCCATTTTTCCCTCCCGTACACTTTGTTGTTAAGTGCCATTAAGTCAGTTTCAATGCATAGTGACCTTATATAGGGTTTCTGAGAAGCAGCTGGTGGGTTTGAACTGCTGACCTTGCGGTTAGCAGTCCAGTGCTTATCCTACAGTGCCACACCAGGACTCCCATCTTAGTAACCACTGATAATGTTTTGATCTCTATACATTTGTCAATTTGAGATAATTTCATCTAAGTGGGATCTTAAATGTTTTACAAATATTGCCTAAGACTGTATAGCTGGGTGGCAGCCATTGAGTTGACTCCAGCTCATGGTGGCCTCGTGCGCCAACCTCATGATCACCAGCACTAATCCATGGTGGCTTCTGTGCTAATCCATCTCAGACTGTCCGTCCCCCCCACTGTCCCTCTCCTTCACCAACGTGACGTCCGCTAGCAAGTGCTTCCTCCAAAAGACTTGATCAAAGCAAGCTAGTTGAGCAGTGTTTGTGTTGTGACCTACAACACAACAATGGTTAGTTTTCAGAAGTGGATCGCCAGGTCTGTCTTACTAGTCTGTCTGAATCTTCTACTCCACCTAACCCTGTCTGGCAGGGGGACCGTGCTGGTGTTTGAAATAAGGGTGGTATAGTAGTATCCTTTGGCAACACAGTATCCTGCTATATAGCTGGAGCAGAATTGATTAAACTAATTCCTGTTGTTCAGTGTTGAGGTGATTTTCTAACCTTTTACTGATGCATATGGCACTGTAATAAATATCCTTTGGCCAAATGTTCTTTTATAACGTTAATTATTTCCTTGGGGTATATGCCTAGATTGGAATTACAGGTCATGTGGTATGTTCACTACCACATTGCCTTTTAGAGAGGTACCTGTTTGTGATTTTACCAGCAGCATTTCATACCTGTTCATCTTATATGCCATTACCAAAACAGATTCAAAGAAGTTTAAGCAAATTGGCTAAGCAAACCAAACCCACTACTGTCAAGTTGATTTTGAGTCATCGCACCCAACTGTCCCATAGGGTTTCCAAGGCAGTCAATCTTCATAGACGCCGACTACCACTTCTTTCTCCCATGGAGCAGCTGGTGGATTTGAACTGCCAACTCTCTGGTTAGCAGCTGAGCATTTTAAACACTGCACCAACAGAGCTCCTTGAAACTGACCAAGATAATAGAAATTATAACTCAGTGTTTTGAATTTAATTTCCACAACACTAATGAAGTTGAGTCCTGGTGTGGCACTGTGGGTTAATGCACTAGAATGCAAGATCAATGGTTCAAGCTCACCAGGTGCTCCTCGGAAACCCTATTCAGGGTTGCTGTGGGTCAGAACTGACTCAACAGCACTTAACAACAGCAATGAATTTGAACACTTTTATCTGCCCTACTTATTAGCCATTTTATTCTTTTGTGCGTGACCTATTCATGACCATCATTATTTTTCTATTGCTATTAGAATATTCATATGTTTTATTGTCCTGAGAAGATTTATCATGTGTCAAGGATATTTAAGCTTTATTATGTGTGCTGTAAATGTTTTTCATAGTTTACCTCACCCTTAACTTGGTTATGATGGATTGGTTTTGCTATGTGTTATTTTTTCAAGTTACCAAATTTTTGGTACCTAAGCTGCAAGTTGTGAATAGATGATTTAAAAGACTATTTCTGTCCTCTGTATATAATTCATTTACCTCTGTGTCTAGCAAACTTCCCCCAAAAGTTCACTTTCTGGTTGGAAAAAAATGGACAAGTGAACAGTTGGATGCAGTGGAACAGTGAAATAAAAACTAATAAAAGTAAGAAACAAGATTTGTGGAATCAAAGAAAAGGAGCCCCTATCTGTTGAGGAGAGGGGACGCTTTGCTAGTGAGACAGGGACCTGGAGCTCGATCACTTGAAGTAGAATTATGAATTCCAAGTGCTCTCCTGATGTGTTTTTAATCTGTTCCATTTTATAATAGGTTGTGCCAGTGGAAGACTCTGGAAGATTCTGTCGTTTACGATTGGTGGAACCATCGCCCTTAGCATTGGACTGCTTACATCTGTCTACCTTGCCACTTTACATGAAAATGATTTATGGTTTTCTAACATTAAGGTATGGGGCTTTTATGACCATTGTATGTTTTCCTTATTGGTGCCTCCGTAATAGGAGTACTGGTGTGACACTGTAAGGTTAGTGCTGGACTGCTGAGTATAAGGTTAGTGATTCAAACCACCAGCCTGCTCCTTGGAAAACCTCTATAGCAGGGATGGGGAACCTTTTATTTGCCAAAATTTATAACATTATTCATGAACCATATAAAATTATCAACTTAAAAATTAGCCTGCTTTATTTAAAGGTCAAACATTTAATTAATTCACCCCTCATGTGATGGCTGGGCTCATGGTGTGGCTCTGTAGGATCAGCTCTGCACTGCAAACCACAGGGTCAGCAGTTCAAACATATCAGCTGCTCCTTGGAAGCCCTATACAGGGTCTCTGTGAGTCAGAACTGACTCAACAGCACTTAACAGTAACAGTGTGATGGCTGGGACTGTGGTTGCCTTGGCAGGGCCAGACCAAATGATTTTGTTCCTCACCGTGTTCTACCGGGTCAGTATGAGCCAGAACCATCTGGATGGCACTTAACAACAACCACCTCTGTAGTAAGTCATATAGATGCATAAAGACAATGCAGTTTTGCCATAAAGAATCCAATCTTAGTTTAAAACAACATGGTGTAACATAGTTTTTATGATCTGCCTTTTCTTTGTCATTAACTAACTTCAGTTATGTAGCCAGTATTCTAACTGACAGTATTTTTCAAACTCTGCATTGTGAAATTGGGTAGTAAAACTAGTAGGTCGAAGGTACTTAGCAACAAGTAGGTCTGGAGAGCACAGTGACTCCATACGAAAAACACTATATTAGGAACCAGAACAGGGTCTGCGGCTAGAGCCCGCCAGCTGCGCCCTGAGAGAAAGATGAGGCTTTCTGAAAGCTCCTGCAAAGGTTTTGAGAAAAGCCTCAGAAACCCTGTACGAGGTCACTGTGAATCGGAACCAGTCTCAACGACACTTAACAACAAACACTACTAGTAGGTCACAGGTTAAAATGTTTTTTAAAGATAAAATGAAGTAGAAAAGAGAATATGACAATACATCACTTAGAATAGAGTTGTAGTGATCCAGTTCTGTGAAATAAGCCTTGCTGGCGCAGCAGTTATGCACAGGCCTCCTAATGAAAACGTCAGCGGTTTGAACCTGCCCGCAGCTCCCTGGGAGGACGCTAGGGCTGTCTACTCCTATAAAGATTAAAAGCAGCTCTTTACCACCCAGTCCATTCTGACTCGTAGGGACCCTGTAGGGCAGAGTAGAAGGGCCTCATAAGGGCTCCACGGTTGTTAGTCTTCATGGAGACAGATTGCCACAGGCTTGTCTGTGAAGTAGCTGCTGAGTTCAAATTGTGACCCATACAGTTAGCAGCCGAACACTTCACCACCGCATCACCTGTTCTCCCGTGTGCCTCTGCATCCGAATCAACTCAGCGGCACACAACAGCATCATGCTGTGCAGACATGGTCACACTATATAGTGTGGTGTTTACTGTGAGATACAGTCCAGTGCCTTAAACCATGGAGTCTGAGTCTGGCTCCATCGATGGACCTCAGTGTGTCCATGACTCTACAATATCACATATGAGTGGTGTTGTGTGTGTGCTTACCCGCACAGGCATGCCCACTTCTGGGGAAAAGAGCCATACTTCCCAGCACATTCTCAAGAGGGCTGGTGACTCTACGTCACTTTATTTGGTTTTTTTTCTTTCTCCCTCTTAGAGTCTCTGTCTCTCTTCTTTAAAACATCTGGAATCCCTCTTGGCATTGTTTTCAGAACTAACATCACACTTAAACAAGGACACTTACATGCTGCCAGTTTTATATACCTTGGTTTTGATCCAAAATACCATGTTTACCCTTGCTTACTAACCAAGACTTACGATGACTTCATTGCTTGCAAAGGTAAAATTCATTCAAAGACCAAAGACCTCTTATGTATGGTTGTGGTGGTAGTGTGCTGTATGGGGTTTCCGAGGCTATAAATCTTTATGGAAGCAGAAAACCTCATCTTTCTCCCACGGAATGGCTAGTAATTTTGAACTGCTGACTTTGAGGTTAGCAGCCCAACTCATAACCATTACTTTTATTATCTATGTTGTTGTTAAGTGCTGGCGAGTCTGTTCCAACCATGCCAACCCTGTATACCGTTTCCTAGGAATGACTGGTGAGCTTGAACCGCCTACTTTGTGGTGCAAACCAACTTTGCACTCCAGCACATTAATCTACAGTGCCACCTCAGGACTTAGTATCTATAAGAATTGCTGCACTATCTAAAGATGGTTCTCCAAGAGTCTTCCAAATTGTTTTGCACTTTGGTTCATTATTGGAATGATCGTCAAAGGAGACAACATTGAGTAGCAAATTTAATTTATATTACTAAGTTCTGGTTTGTATCCTTTAAAAACCAGCAGCATTACTTTATGGGACCTCTGGGTCGTGCAGTTAACACACTCACTGCTAGCTGAATGAATGGAGGTTCAAGCCCACCTAGAGGTGCCTCGGAAGAAAGACCTGGCCATCTACTGCTGCGAAATCAGCTCTTGGACAAAACCCTGCGGCGCGTAGTTCTACCTAAACACACAGGGAATTGCTGAGTCAGAATCTACTTTACAGCAACTGATTTTGGCTTTTTATTATTGCTTTATAGAGATGATTGTGTCTTTGCATGTATTTTTCTATACGTTATCAGCGTACCAAAGAATAAGAATTCTTATATTTCAGTGACAATTGGTAGATGTATCTTGTCAAGAAAAATTGTCCTCACCTATTATCTCTTTAAAGAAGCCTTGGTAGCATAGTGCATTACGCCCTGGGCTGTTAAACGTAAGGTCAGTAGTTCAAATCTTCCCAGCCGCTTTGTGGGAGAAAGATGAGGCTTTCTGTTTCTGTAAAGATTTACAGCCTCAGAAACACTTATACAGGATCGCTGTGAGTCGGAAGCGACTCACTGTAACACAACCACCGTATCTCTTTAAGGGAGTGCAGTGGCTCTGCAGCACTGGACTGCAAACCACAAGGTCAGTGGTCCTAGTCCACCAGCTGCTCCACGAGAGAAAGATGAAGCTTTTTGCTCCTGCGAAGATTTACTGCCTCAGAAACCCTATATAGGGTCACTGTGAGTTGGAAACAACGCAACAGCATGTGAAAACAACATACCGCTTTAAGATAAAATACAAACAGGTTCCCTAAAATTAAGCAATGTAATGGCACTGTAGGATAAGCACTTGACTGCTAACCACAAGGTTGGCAGTTCAAACCCACCAGTCTCTAGGGACTGGTCCCTTCTGAGAACATGTCCAAAGTCTGAGAGACAAAGTCTGGCCATGATGGTTTCTAAGGAGCATTCAGGCTGGACTTCTTCCAGCACAGATTTGTTTGTTATTTGGACTGTCCATAGTGCTTGGACCCCTATGCAGGGTCACTATGAGTTGGAACTGATTCAACGATGCTTAATAACAACAACAACATTTATTTATAAGGCAGATATTTTGAATAAAAGAAGTATCCCTCAGTATTTTAGCTAAAATTAAGTGTTAATAATTGTATAACTGGAGTTCTGGTGAGGCACTGTAGGATAAACATTGGCTTATTAACCCTAAGGTTGGCAGTTCAAACCCACCAGGTGCTCTTGTAGATCCTGTACAGAGTTGCTGAGTCGGAACTGACTCAATGGCACTAAATATCGACAGCAATTTTGTAGCTAGTTATTCTGAAACAGATAACTTAATTATAAACTAAGTTTCACTTTGTAATTTAAAAACTATAAGTGGCCTTGCTAGTATTCTTAAAACACCCATTATTAAAAACCAGAATATCTTTTGTTTTTCTGTAAAAAATCAATGTTTCTCAAAAAAGTGTAAATTCACCAGATTAAGGAAGTCACTATACATTATTTTTTACCTATTCTGGATACACTGAGGACCTACTGTGTGGATAGCATTGAATTAGACATTATGATTTTTTTTTTTAAGCATATATTCCAGTATAGTAAAATAAAAGGAGCTCTGGTTATGAGTCAGACTGCTAATCCGAAGGTCAGCAGTTCGAAACTTGTCAGCAGTTCTACAGGAGAAAGATGAGGCTTTCTGTGCCAAAACCATATACAGGGCAGCTATGAGTTGGAACTGACTCCGTGGCACATAACCACCACCACCACCACCAATATAATAAATGCATTCATTAAATATATATTAAATACCTACAGTAAACCAGCATGGAGTCCTGGTGTGACACTGTGGGTTAATGCGTCAGACTGCAAAGCCGTTTGAACTGCAAGGTTGGTAATTTAAGCTCACCAGCCGCTCCTTGGAAACCCTATCCAGGGTCGCTATGAGTCGGAACCAACTCAGTGGCACTTAACAACAACAGTAACCAGCAATACTATGTTCCATGACAGCAATGCCACTAAATATGATATCCTGCCCTCAAGTAGCACATGATACAGGTAAGTATGCAGGACATCCACAATTAGCACATATAACATGACCAAATGTAAGCCACATGCTGTGTGCATAAGTAGTATTGTAAGGTATACAGGAAAGGAACCCTAAGGTAATGTTAGGGAAATGATCAGGGAAAGTTTGATAGAAGTGATGACAAGTGAGACTGGAATTTGTTGTTGTGAAGTGCCATCGAGTTGGTTCCGACTCATAGGGACCCTGTACAGAGTTTCCGGTGAGCAGCCGGTGAGTTTGAACGGCTGATCTTGCAGTTCAAACCGACTCTGCAGTCCAGTGCATTAAGCACAGCACCACACCAGGACTCCTAAGAACCCACAAATCCTAAGAGAGGAGACATGTAGGAAGTTCATGAGGCAAGATAGCTTGGAGTGTTGGCAGTATGGAGCACGACTGGAGCCTAGACAAGGAGACTGAAGACAATGGGAATGGTAAGCAGGCCACATCATGAAGGACACTGTCTCATATACCACCAGGGCAGTCACGGCCAGTGCAGTGAAATCAGAATGGACCCACATTCGCAGAATGTGAATTGACTATAAC